TGTATGTATATAATTCAATACCGTTAATTACACGGTATAAAAGTAATTTGTAGTTAAAAAATATCGTTATATTAAATAATAATTATAGTAATAAAATACAACGCGCATTGTTAAGTATTAACTGTAACACAGTTTGCTGGATACGGTCTTGGTGATTTTTTTTATGGTAGCTAAATTTATATTTTCACATTTCATTGTCAATTCTAGACAGAAGCGATTTAAATTCGAAAGAACTGTCTTAAAAAAAACTTCCATCCATTTACCATACCGGACTTTACCGTTATAATTCGCTCAATAAATAGTATTCAAAAATGTTGTAACAATTGCACGTGAAAATGTGCTAAAAAGCGGCGTTGTGTAATGATCGACTTCCGATATACTTATTTTATATTCGTTTATAAACTATATTCTTATGATGATAGAATAAACTTATTTTTGAGATTTTTCTGCACTTCATGCCTCTTTTAAAAGTTTAGCGACCTCGTAAACATTAAATAGAGATTCTTAATTGTTCCATTCAAATATTTAATATAAATTATATTCAACCATCAAATTCTAAACGGTTAACATTAGCCAAGTAGGCAAAGAAACATTTTAAAACTATTATATAAAACATTTTGAAAACGGTTTTTCTATTTTATTAAACGATTTTACTACCGTTTTCATGACAGCTTTGTGGTTACAAAATATATATTTGTATAACGTTTTAATGTGTTTTTCTAACGTTAATCAAAAACATAATATGTAAAATGTTCTAAACGTATTTGTACAAAGAAAAATAAATGAATGTAAACAAAATAACGTTTTAGAGGATCAGTTTTCAAAATACATTATTGTAAAACATTTTAAACGAAAACGATTGTATTTTAAATTAATTTCTACTTTGCTACTTGAATATGAGTTATTAGAATTAAAAAGTACATTAACAGAAATAATTTAATAAATATTAGCATTGTATTATTATTCGATCGGTCACGTCAAGGCATTAATGTAACAAAATATTATACAAACAAATCGATTTTGTTTTGAAATAATATATTGTTGTATAATATTTAATGCACAGTGAGCAACACTTGTAATTGAGGAATGACTAATTTTCTCTGCCTCGCATGTGATTTTATAATAATAATAATAATAATAATAATAATAATAATACTGTATTATGATTATTATGAAAATAAACGGTCGAACGATTTTTACCAAGCGGCGTTCACGTTTTTCATCGAAGCGTACGAATTGAAAAAATAATCATTCAATAATATAATCCATTAAGAGGCTGGCGCCGAACAAACTCAGAATCAGAAATAACAATATTACTATCATAATACAACACCGTCCGTGTCGAACCCGTTGTTTTTCAAACACCAGTAATGACTGAATAAGTAACTTGGGGTACACATATATTCAATTAAAATTTGAATCTATGTGTTATTACACATTTTTCTCAAATGCAGTGAAAACAATTTTTATGGAAAACTTATTAAAAACATTTGTTACCTAATATAGTTATTCAAAATGTGTGTCCCTTATTATCTCCAGTGTACCAAGTTGCCTAGTTTTACTGTAGTCTCTTTTTCGATTAGTCTTTAAATGGTCATAATATAGTAGCATAAGCACAATATTCATGTGATCGATTTTAGTAGGTGTACTTTCGCGGTTAAAGTCGTCTACGTCTTATTCAAGTATTGATTTTACAAGATATTTTTTTTCTTTTATGGTTTCTAATTTATCTGCACTAATAATGAACACTGGTTGCATAATCGATGAATATCAGTTACCACAATAATAATTAAGCTGGTGGGATTATTATTATTAATTATTAAATATAATAATAATAAATCAGTGTGGTTTGTGAAATCATAAGTTAAGCAAGAAATTATACGCGAGTATGCCAACTTAAGCGACGGTCGTTGACCTTAGTATATATGTATCAGTTTTGGTCTTGTCGTGGGCATAATTTTGTTCATCTTGATAGAGATTACTCTAAAACAGAGATACACATTGACACAAGATACAAATATTCATGATATACTTAAAATTGCATTTACAACGGCAATGTTGCATTAATAAAATATTATATTTATTTATTTATACTTTGATACATTTTTGTTCATCTCTACTCCAAAATTATGTATTATTATTTTGCAAAAACCTAAACTATCTGACATGACACGAGATAAGAAGAAATACTCTGTTTTAGATTCATCTCCAGTGGCCGAGGCAGCCTTTTTTTAATTTTAATTTGTAGCCACATATGGTTGTACATTTTCTACGCTGTTTACGGTCGGCGACAAGACGTGTTTGTTTTATGAGAATTATTTATGAGACAATGAAACCGGCAAAGAGAATAATATTGTTAGATAGATAATGTTCAATTGGAACGCCCACGGCTTTGCGGTAATGATCTTGGAACGGACGGGCGCTAAACAGTCGTTTTAATTTATGCGGATGATCTTTGAAAATGCATAAATAAAATTATATCATCCGGTAAAATCTCGAAAACCGCTTATAAATGACTTGGAAAACAGTTTTGTTTTATATTTTTACTCAAATTTTATTGCTTTCTCGATGATAATAATCGAAGATGCGCCGTGTGCATCGCGCGATTTTCGAGTTCGATTAAACAACTCGCACTGTTATCCAAATAGTGAAACGGATCGTTACATGTTAATGATTTATGTTATAAATTATATATTTATATATATATATATATTGTATGTATATACACTATACAGTGTATAATCGCAATGGATTCAACGACTCTCCAATTATAAAACGTTACTAAACGATGGCCGATTTGTTTATGCACTCAATAGGTAATTTAACTGTCTTGCGTGGAATCATGTTTCCATTTGTTGTTGGTATATTCAATTATAAAATCTGACGCTTAAAAATAATGCCGACTACTCGCACTAAAATAACACGTCGAGTCGTTGAAATCACGAGTTCGAGTGAGTGGTCGTTGTTTCACGATGATTCTCCTATTCACAGAGTAGTTTTCACAATTCATTTTTTAAAATAAAACCATCAACTTGTCCGTGGTCGTGCATGCGATTATTCTCTCTGTACGTCGCCATCAGCAGCTGCTCTCTAAAGTCTATATATTCCACCGTTCACGCACCTCCGCGTCTCAGCTATAATAACGTTCACCCACCGGCAGTCTTACTACCCAAACACACGAGTTATCCAATGCAATATGCTCCGTTCGTTGCATTGTGTAATGTAATTATCGATTGATTTATAGTTCATACTCCACAGTATCATTGCTAGTTGTAAACTGCGGAATCCTATGAGAAACAGCGATTCCGCAGTGAGTTAGTTTCGTCTGAATTGTGCAATATTATTTTCGTAGACACGATAGAAAATTGCATATGATGTAAATATAGATAAAATGACAGGAGATGATGGAGCAACTAGAAAGGAAGAGAAGCCACATATTTCATAACATTAGCTGTTAGATCTCAACATGTCTAGCACGACTCCTCTACCCGGAGTTAGTGTTCCTGATTATTCTTCGGTGCGATTAATATTCATAAAAGTTTATTTAGTATCATTCGTTGGCAATAAGTTCACATAGGAATCGCTTTAATGGTATTATGGCTAATTCTTTTCTATTTCTTTGTTGTGGAAACCTAGAGCACACGCGCCCTTTGGGCGGTGGTTGTTCATTACAAACGTTTTGCCGCTTATATGGCTAATGACACGAATGCCAGATAATGGCGCATCCATGGACTATCTTCTAATTTTTCAGCGGTAGTCCAGCCAAACGTTTGAAGTACGCCTGTAAACGACCTAGCAGCAAAACGGTTTTTTCGGTAAATTACAGCTTTATGCAAGACTGCGGGTGAACTGTATATTTTTCCATTAAGTAAACCACTTTGGGAAGCAACGAACAATGATGGCTAAAGACAGGTTTAGCTTATTCGCTATTAAAATTGAATTATTTCGAACATACAAATAATTAGACGTGTGTACAAAATCGTTCAGTCGATACTTAAACGCACTTGGGTTTCAGGATTAACTGGCGACGCTTATACATTTTAGTATTAACTTAAATGATTGTTATTTTGCTGATATTTCGTACGTTAATAGTTAACGTCGGTACAGCGTATATAATATTATGTATATATACATCTATTTAAATCTCCGTGAGGCCAGCTAGGTAGTATTTACCGTTATGGTTACCATCTACTCAAAACTAATGTGCGCGCGTGCAACACAAAGGTTCGCTTAGCTCGTTTCTTTTGAAAATTCTTTGCCAAGGTACAAGGTCTGCTCCTTGTGGCGATAATTAATGAAGAAGACGCGTTTTGACAAATGACAATCAGTCGCAAAACGACTTTGAACATTTGTCAGGTATTATTTCCTAGTGTTGCCACTAATGTTCGTGGGCGTTCAATGCCAACCCATCAAGTGGGTATCCCCTGCGTTCCCGTATGTACTCCCATCGCGACCTTACTACAATCGTTCAGTCCAAATAATATTACAAAATTATTACAAGTCATCGGTCGTCCCGTAGGCTTAAGGGGATTGAAAGCGGGTTTCTAAGGGGCATTATATAGGCAAATAAATAATTTAAAAATGTATAAATATCAAACGGTAAATTACACATCTAGTTAAAATCAATAAATAAATAAAAAAGGAAATTCAACCTAAAATTCATAATGCCTAACCTAACAGATAAGTTTAAACTGTATGCTATATTTTTATCAACAAAATAGTATAAGATACCTACCGATTTACAAAAATAATTTTAAAAAAATGATGTATAAAAAATAGCTTAAGAGTGGCCACCATCATAGTGGAAATAGGAGGACATAAAAAGTTACAAATTAAGGAGTAAAAGTAATGATAAAGAAGTAGTAAATAATTTTGACGATGCATGTACAAAGCACAGGAGTTAGGGAAGATCAAAAAATAAATTCTACGTATTCACAAATATTATCGTTTAGGGAAAGTTACATAACACATACTTATCCGTTGTATTTTTTGTGTTGCAGAAGTCCAAAATAAAAACGACAAAGCGATGGATGTGGTCACGGATATAACTTCGTCGTTCAACTATGGGCCGGAACGATTTTACGCCGGTAGCGAATTCGGAAGGCCGGAAACGATGAAATCTACGTACGAGATTATATTGTCTCGATCCGACGACTCGGAGTCGACGGACGGTACCACCGCGGCAAAGAGGCCCATGGCGATCAACGGCAATAGCAACAGCTGCAAGTCGACGGAAGACACGTGCAGCAAATCGAGCGTCAGGGACAAGATAGCGCTATTTTCGTCGCGGGCCGCCGCCGAATCGAGGTCCGACAAAAAAGACTCGACCTCGTCGTCGTCATCGTCCGCGTATTCGTCGGGCTCGCCAGACTCGTCGCCCCTTAGCACGCCACCCGTTTCGACTCGGGGTAGCAGTACTCTGCCACGAAATCCGTCGGCCGAACGCTGCCACCAACGAAATCAATACCAAACACAGGTTTCAGTGCCGGCAACGGCCGATGAGGCCAAGACACCGTTGACGCGGGCCATCAGTTTCACGGACACGGCGTCACAGTATCACCGGCGGTCTCAGAGTCTGGTGGAACCGTACAGCAAGTACTTCAACACAATGAACACGTACGCCGAAATGGGACGATCGTCGTTGAATACACTCATTGAACAGCGGCGACGCAGCATGTCTAAACTCCGCGGATTGGTCATACCGGAAAAGGCCAACATGTCCGTCGACGACGACCGACACCCGGCCATTCCAGATCTGCCGGAGATCAAGAGCAAAGACGTCGTGGACACCGGCGACGTCGAATCCAGACCGGTGTTTTGTCCGCCGACCAAGACTTACGTCAACAGGCCGGTGACGGGCACGGTGACGCGATACGCCAGTCCGGTGAAGACCGTTCGGGCCGTACAACCGTCGGCTATACCGGCGGCGGCCGCGGTGGTGGTCGTCGAAGAACAGCACTCGTCTTCGTCATCTTCGTTGAATTCCAGTCGGGAAGAACTCAGGCACATTATACAAGACGAGCGACCGAACAGGGAATCGATCATCGGCTTGTCAAAGTCCAAGGCGGCCGCGTTCAAAGGCGACAGCGACGAGGATTCGGCGTTGAGTTCAAGCCGGTCGAGCATTTCGCAGTACTCGCCGACGTCATCGCCATCGCCCAACCGGTGCATAATGGCGGCGGCCGATGAAGTCAACGGGTGCAGCAAGCGCGTGTTGAAACCCGAAAGCGTAGAGGCCATCAACCGAAAGAACGTGTTGTGCTCGGCCAGAAACAGCAGCGGCAAGCCCGAACCATTGTATCCGTTATGTAAACCGACGGCCGGTCGTCAACCACAGCAACAGCCGACGTTGGACACGTTGTGGTCTTCCGACCCGGTTCGGCCGTGCGTCAACGGCAACAACGTCAAGACTGAGTACTACGCTATGGACGTATCCGCCAACGACAGGCAGCCGAAAGGCAAGTCTAAATACTCGCACAACCGTATGTCGTCGATGGAATCGACCACCAGCGAGGACTCGTCCATGCAGTACGTGAGCGCCGAGCAGTTCGGCAGCATCAGTTCGCTGGCATCGTCCACTAGTCTGATATCGCAGCAGGAACTACAGCAGCTAATCGAGGACGCCAATCAAACGCTCGAGGAGTCGGCCGTCGTGCCGTCCCAAACCGTTGAAGTCATGGTCGTCATACTGCACCGGGACAGTGCCACCAGCAGCGTCGGCATAACTCTTGCGGGTGGTGTCGACTACGAGACTAAAGAGATAACAGTAAGTCTAACAGCAATTTCAATCAAACCCCAAGTCTTTCAACGTACATACCATAATATATAAAATCTGTAGCTAATCTAATATGTATCTGTAACTAATAATATGACTATCGAGTCATTACTTAATATTATATATAATAATATTACTTAACAGTAAATGGGGTCACTGATCTATTAAGAAGGTTATCTTGCAAAATTATTCCTATTCCATCTAACGGATATAGGTTTCGTACATCTGCAGTACATGTCAAAGAAAACGTCGCCAAGTTTATTTGGTATGATAAAATGTTTCCGTATAATTTTAGAAGCAGGACAACATATCAAGTGAAATATTTTTAATCAGGGATAACACGTTTTTAAGTTCAATCATTATATCGTTTTATAATTATTAATAACACTCTTACTACTTAAGTTCAAAAAATATATTTATTTAAAAAAAATTGTATTTACTATCTCAACTTGATAAATATACACTAACAACTTATTTTATAGTTGATTTTTAAAATTAAACGATTGTATTTCATTAATTTTTTATTTCTATTATTACATTTAAAGCTATTAGTTTGAAGTTTTATGTATTTTTTTTTTTTTTTAGGTCTACAAAGTATTAGCTGGAAGTCCGGCTGATAAAGATGGGCGCGTTAAGAAAGGTGACCGTATACTATCAATTAACGGCAAGAGCATGAAAGGAATTACACACCGAGAATCACTGGCTATACTTAAAGTAAACACCTCTGTCATAAAATAAAATAAAGTGAAATATAAGTTTTCAAGAAAATTGTATTGTTTTAATTTTGTTTATTCAGCTTTTAAAAAATTATATAAATTATTAAGAAACGGTTAAAACGTTAATAATAATTTTCTTTAGCTCAATCATAAACGCATAAATGTTTAAAAATTGATACTGTCAAGTCTTATAGGTTTTTCTCCTGTACTCTTTATGAAAGATTTTTCAGTATAATAATATACTACTGTTTTTATATAGGCACCACGATCCGAAGTAGTATTGGTATTATCCAGATGTAAATCTGAAGCGAGTGCAGAACCAAACGGATTACCTCAGCTAGCTGAAATATCAAATTCCATTGAAACCAAAAACAGTAATTATTAACAAAATGATTTCCTTTAAATTGCTTTGCAACTCTCAACATTTTTTATAATATTGTTTTAGACACGAGTAATCAAACTTTTGGACCAATGGTCAAAGTGATTCTGTCTAAAGACGGTTCTGGTTTGGGTTTCAGTCTAGAAGGGGGAAAAAATTCGCCGTCTGGAGATCAACCTTTGACAGTGAAAAAAATTTTCACAGGTAATTACATCACAAATAATATATTTTTTCCTCATTGCAAATAAATTTATTGTTTTTATCTCTCCACAGGTGGATGCGCCGAACAGTGTGGACAGATATTGGCTGGAGATGAACTAGTATCGGTAAACGATATAGACGTTACTGGTATGTCGCGCACCGAAGCTTGGAACTTGATGAAGAGATTAGTTAACGGGACCGTTTCGCTCGGCATACGTCACATTACATAATCTTCTTGCTGTGAGCTATTTATTCATAAATAAATAAGTAGTGGTATTCGGGTCCGTCAGTAGGCGTTAAACTCCTTTACCAACAACATAAAAATATGTTTTCTTAAACCTAATTATTATGAATATTTAACAATAACTACCACAAATTAAAATAAAATTAATTTGTGATAAAAATGTATAAAACTTATTTATGAATAGTGTACATAGAGAGTGTTATCTTATCTATATGTTGATTATATATAATAATATTATGATTTTTATATTATTTTATGTTCATTTTCATTTTACATATTGTGCCATTGTGATTTCTGTTAAATAGAATATAAATAAAAATACATTGAAAAAATCTGTATACTTAATATTTATTTTCAAACCTTAGCACCACAACCTTTTTGTTCATCATAATTTAATATTAATTTACCGAGAATTCCTTTAGGTAAATTTACATTTGGTAACTTTTCACTAATAATACCAGTAGCTACAGTTTTCCCATTTTCTCTTATTGTAAACGATTGACCAATGTCCATAACCATTTTATTGAGTAAAGTGAGTCGAACTTCAGCGTGTTCTCCGGGCATGATCATCGGTATAGATGGATCCAAGTCAATTCTAATGAACAAAACAGACAATATAAATAAAATATACAGATATATAATAACTAGTGCCTGTTAAAAAATAAATGTTATGCTTCAGGTTTATAAAAAAAATTAATTCTAGAAAAACTGCAATATTAAAAAAATATATAATAAAAGTAAAACTACAATAAAATAAACAAATTTTTAAACAAGAGCTTTATACTTGAAAACATCAAGTTCTTCAATTTTATTAATTTTACTATTCAGTTTTGAATTTTTAATAACTTTTTTCAACAAATATTATTAATTTAGACACATGTCTAAAAATTCCATCATAAGTTAAAATTAAAAAGACTTGAAAGACTAGAATAACAAATTCTGGGGCAAAATGGAAAAAAACTTTTTTAAGTGGAACAGAATGGGCTTTTTAAGGGGCAAAGGATAGACAATATTTGATATTAATGGATCTGAGTAACCCATTTTAAGTATGCAGACAAATTTTAAGGCAAAAAAATATTAAGTTTTTCTAGTTATAAAACTTAAAGTTATTTTTCTCTAAGTTATGGCGAAAGTTTGATAAAAAATTACTTCAAAGAAGTCTTTCTAGCGCATCTATTGGACGGATTTCAATTTTTTTTTTGTGAAGCTTACTGTTTTTTCTTTGGGGGCTAAAAGGCTGATTTTTGGTTTTATTAATAAATTAGTTAGATTTATTAGAAAAACTATAAAAAAGTAAAAACATAAACGCTTATAATACAATTTTGAAAAAAAAGCTTTTTAATCCTCATAAATAAGATGTTTTTCTGGATAATATACAGTTTTTGTTTGTTTAAATTTGTTCACTTGACTCTAATATACGTTATACATTTTAGTTGAAGTTAATTTATAATAACCTGCTAGCGATATTCCACGTATGACTAAATAATTGCTGCTGGTATTTGGACGTAATTGGTTTTGATCGTCCTCCTTCAGCACGCATGAGGAAATAGATTGTAGCTTTGAAATGGTTGTTCATTGTCAAACTATTACTTGGGCATATTATCATTCCTTTGCGAATGTTTTTAGGTTTAATGCCTCTCACTAGGAGTCCTACGTTATCCCCGGCCTTAGCCGTAGGCACAGATTGTTTAAATATTTGGATATCGCTAACGCTGGTTGAAATTTTTTCATCGAAACCAATCAAGTCAATTTTGTCATTCCTGTTTACAGTTCCTCGTTTAATGGTACCGATTACAACCGCCCCGCGGCCAGGTACTAACAGAGCATTGTCTATTGGTAATAAAAATGGTGACGAGTAATCACGTTGTGGCGTAGGAATATGATTGTCGATAGCGTCTAATAGTTTTCTAATTGATTTTTCTCCCAGTTCAGACGTGTCACCGTTTAAAGCAAGCTGAGCTGATCCAACGATGCATGGAACATTTTCACCTTCAAATCCAAAATCTGTCAATAACTCCCTTATTTCAAGCTCTACAAGTTCTATTACATCATTTTCAGATATATCGGCTTTGTTAATATACACTACCAAGTGATTTACACCAACCTATAAAAGATATATAACAAAAAAATTAGTTTAATTAAGAATCCGCAATCTAACCGCAAAGATTTACTCATTGCGGTTTCAAAGAGACAGGACATTTATTACAGCAACAACTTAAGAGACATTATGAAGGATAAATTCTGGTGGGACATCCTGATCGTGTATAAAAATATTTATCCAGGTATAAGTGAAAAAAAAATCTTAATACTTGTTTAATTAACAGCAAATGTTCTCGAGTTTGTGGCATTGAACCGTCTGTTGCAGCAACCACTAAAATAGCACCGTCCATTTGAGATGCCCCGACTATCATGTTCTTAACGAAATCGGCGTGACCCGGACAATCCACGTGAGCGTATTTACGTTTTAATGTTTCATAACCAACATGCGCTATGTTTATAGTTATACCTCTAGCTCTTTCCTCTGGAGCTTTATCAATTTGGTTGTAATCTATGAATTTTGATAAACCATCTTTTTCCTGTACTCTAGTGATTGCAGCTGTCAAAGTAGTTTTCCCGTGATCCACATGACCAATTGTACCTTATCGATAATGTAATAATACAATGCTGTTTATATGTGTAGGGAATTTTTAAAAAATACACACATTTATTTATTGCACAAAAAAATAAATAAACTATGAAATTGAGTTATGTTTTTTTATTATACTTACCAATATTACAAGTAGGTTTGGGTATTGTCGAATAATATTTCAATGTTGATTTGTGAATCTCACCACCTTTGCTAATTTGATTGTAAAAAAATAACTTTTTACACCATGAAGAATGTTTTACAAAACAAGATTTAATAAACATTATTTATATATATGAAGTTTATACACTTATGAAGTATGTACTATATTTGATTTGAGAATATATTAGTATAATATGACAATTAACAATTTATATTATGAAAAACAAAAATAAATGAAAATTATATTATTTCTGAATTGATAAAATTGATATGATATTAAATATTGATAAGAAAGTTTCGTGGTGATAAGAATATTATCACAAAATATTCTGTGATATTATTTTTGGCCATAGACATAATATTAATATACAATATTATTATGTCTATGTTAATAACCTTGCACATCACGGCTGTAGAAGATAAGGCCAAGGCCGCATACACAGAATAGAATAATTAATAGGTATAATATAATATTAAGGGGATTGCGTGCGGTCTGTTTTTAAGGAGTTTTGTATAGGCAATATTTTTAGAAAAAAGTGATTTTAATAAATTTTGACCATGTCCATTACTTACTGGTTAATTTGTATAAGCTTCAAGGTAGTATTTTTAATTTAAACTATTTTTCTAGAAGTAAAATCCATTTTGGTTTATTTTAGAGCAAAAAGTCAGACAAAATTTCAACTACATAAGATGGTTCAATTTTGTAAGACAATTCAAGTTCTTTGGTTAGGTCTACATTTTAATTTCTTGTAATTAAATAAATAAAATTGCAATTTTTTTATTATTAAAACCCAACTTTTTTACATAAAAAAAGGAAAAAATCAAAAATCGGCTTCAACAAAACTCGAATCTCTTTACAGAATTTAAATCGGACTATCCTAAGTAGTCGAAATATTGCCTGGCTTTTTGGTATAAATTCTAAAACGTCAAAAAACATCCCGCATACAATCCCCTTAACAGTAAAAGTATAAAATATAAATATATATAATACTTATAGTCAATCGATTCAATTCACTTCAGTAAACACAAAATTATTGTTATAACTTATAACTACACCATAGGAATAATATTTTATATTTGATAGCAGTTACAATAATTCAATTTTAAACTCACAATAGCTAAACATTGTAGTGTGAAAATAACTAATTTGTTATTTTCTAATAATAGGCATTGAAATAGTGTCCGGTTAACCATTTTGGTGTTTTAATTAAATAATTTTAAAAAATAAATCAAAATAGTGAAAGACTATATTAAAATTAAACTATTGTAACAACAAAATCTATCAAAATATATTTATTTAAATTTTATTAAGTTAAATTATTTTAGGCAGTTAAAAATAAACATCAAATATATAGTCATCAATATAAATGTTTATTAAGACACATTTAAATGCAATTGAATTTTACAGAAAATAGTTAACTTAAAATTATCACTACACATTAAAAATAGATTTTCTTCAATAATTGTATTAAAAATTGAACAAGTTCACACAGATTATTGATAATAGTTTAATAACGAAACAATTTTGATAATGAAACAAAAATAAACAAATTAACAATACTTATTGTGCAAAATGCAACTCGAACAGTACAAGGAATTCCTTCAAGGCTTATGTTGAGTAGTTGAATTGCTTTCTGAAATGATAAAACGACATATTTGTTAATATATTAGAGAACATTATATACTTTCTAATTTTTAAATAATTGACAACCTCTCTATATAGTTTATACTATCTTACACCTTTGCATAATTCTTTAACTTACGAAATTTAACTTATAAAATATTAAGTGTATTTTTAATAATACTATAAACTATAGCAATCGACATTGTTGTTGAACTAAACTTGTAAAACTCAGCAGTTATGAAACGACCAAAATAAAAGCCTCAGGCTAGCACAATAGTAAACAACCTGAGGATGTAGCAAAATAAGTTCCTAGAAGCATATGCAGTTGACTAAAACAAAGATGGTCAAAATGGGTCAGGAAACGTTAGGGTCGAGTATCGTTAACAGTGAAGAATTGATAGAAAAAATGAAAAAATAGTGGAGAGAACTGGTGATTGCAGCAAAGAAAAATGCAGCCTTTACTAAACAAAAGAAAAAGTTATGACTGTGAATAAATTAATAATATTAATATTGGTATCTAAAAAATGTTATACTACTTTTAACCCGATTGGTAAAAGTTCAACATGTAGCTTAACGGGCCTTGAAGGCCCAACACTGCAATCAACTAATGGTCTCTAATTTCTAAATTTATTTTTATTGAAATATTTAGTCGACCCTTGATTGTGTTGTAATAATTTTGTATTGTTAACGTGCGCCGTTCTTTATGAATATTTTATTATTTGTTTTTTTTTTACATACATTTTATAAATAAATTGAGTGAAAAAAAGCAAAGTAACATTTATAATTATTTTATATAATAAAACATCATATTAAGACTAAAATTGTATAACAATTAACTGTTCTGTACTAAATTTGAATTGTTTAGAAATAATTAAATTAACTTAAAACATTTTGTTATAAACAAAGAATATCCTTTATTATTATTTTAGAAACGTTTTTTAAATTTTTTATTTGGTATACGACTTATCAGTGGAATGATGTTTATGAAAAAAAACTGTTAGCTAAAAACCCTCTTGATAAGAGACTCACAGTATAAACACTATATAGTTTAAAGTATAAGTAGTCTGTAAAATTTAGCGTTATGGATTTAGTGGTCCGTGAGGTCCTAAAGGTTGGCGACCGCTGTTCTAGAGGAATTTTATAGAATACAAGCTGTCCGGACCAGGTGTTGCCCGGGATTTAGTTCCCAGGGCCGAGTAAAATAATTACAAATAAGATTAATAAAACTCAGTACTCCAGGTTGTATATTGTAAAGCTTTATAGCATACCCTGTCTCGGCTTTTTTTTGGATCTACATATTATGTACATAACATTACATTGATTATACCCCCCTCTTATTTAAGGGTCCCAGTCCCGATCCCGGTCCAAGTCCCAGTTCCAGTTCCAATGTTTAATAGCGTCCTCAGAACCGGCCTGTTTCATCACCTACCATTCGCTCGAGTACTGTGGTTACTATGGTTAGCAAACTAAGTGTTTATTTTGGGTTAGCAACAAAAAATATTTTGTATTTAAAGTATAAAATTCGTGTTTGAGGCCACCCTTAGGGGTGGAATTTTCAAAAAGTACTATGCCAGTTACCTTTGCGGGAGTGTACTCAACAACTTCACAAAGTTTCATGGCGATTGGATGAATGGTGAACTAATGCATAAAGGACAAGCAGACAAACATACATTCATTTTTATACATATAGATTAAACAAAAAATTGTACATGTACGTAATTCTCAGGATAATTAAGAAATTTGTTGGTAATTTTAAAAAATGTATAAGCGCCTAAGTAAAATAATACGGAGAATTTTTAATTATTAAATATAATATATACGTTCTGAAAGAACCATTGTTCGAAATATTTCAAACAAATTTTAGATGATACGGTTTGTTTTTTTTGTAAATTTTAAACATCGTCAAGTTAAAGCAAATAGATACAATCAGTAACAAGCCAATTATGAGGCTTTGCAATAATGTTGTTTAACCGGGCTATAGTAGATGTGTTAAAATATTATTTTGTTTTGTTACCTGGCAATTGACTAGGACTTTTTACAATACTATTATCAGGTACTGATTGAGCATGTAAACTGGTAACATTAGACGCAATCTTGTCGATTTGGTTTTTAAGATTAGAAACCTATAAAAAAAAAACCTGGTTAATATAATATTATAATATAGAATTTAAACATAACATATATACACCATTAGTTTATTACCTCTAATTTAGTGTCAGTGAACTTTTTGGTAAGCTCGTCTTCTGAAATTTGATATTTGCTTTCAATAGTTTTTAATTGAGCCAAAAATTTTTGGCTATTCTCTTTTAATTTCTCTATTTCATCCTATAAAAAAATACAGCAGTTAAAAGTGCAACATTTTCAATATAATTGTATTCACACAAGTTTTTAACCAACTTTATCTTTTTTCTGATCTTGAGAAAGCCAAACAAGTTTACTTGACAATGTTTGATTAGCTGCTGTGATGTTACTACTCAAATCATTAATTTGAACTCGTAACTCATCTGACATGCGATTAATACTGGTTTCATCAGTCTTAGAGCCCCTGATAAGAGTTAAATTGCCCTAAACACAAATAAATTTGCTTTATGTATAATTTATAAATGGTATACAAATAATCAATGATGATACTCATTTTAACTAGGGTTCGGGACTTAAGGCACTTATAACATTTAAAATAAGCGCTTAAAAACATTTGTTTTTTTTATTATAAAATACTTGTATTTTGTGCCCATGCTAAGTACAAAACAAAAGCAAAACAAGTGGTATTATTACTACGAAATAAAATACAGTTTTGAAAATAGTTTTCGTTTAGTTTTACCACAAGCATTTTTTTAATGATAGACCAAAAATCTGGGTGTTTGTTAGAGGCCTGCATCATCAAAATCAAAAATATTAACAAAAAACTTATAAATGAATTTCTTACAAAAATTACTTTCAAACTTCACGCTTAAATTTGTTGTAACTTGGCATAAATTTGTATAGCACTTGGCTAGCCATAAAAATAAGCAAATGCTTTAACTCCCGAACCGTAATACAAACATACAATTATTTGTGTAATGTTGGAATCCAATTTTTTTTGGTTGGATTGTAAAGAAGCAGTATTCTCTTTGAGGGCTCTAACGTTTATATTTAAATCTTCAAGTTCACTTCCAAACTTAGCCACTTCTGCGGATAAATCTTTCCTGACGTCTGGTGATGGGACGTGTGGAGGAATACGTTTTTCAATTGATAAAAGACTCGTATGTAATTGTTTAACCTGTAGATTAATCAATTAAAAATTATTATACAAATCATATTTACTAACATACATAACATTAAGAGTTAAATATACCTGCAGTGTTAAGTTTGTGATTTGTAAATTAAAACCAGATAATTGTTGATAAATGTCAGTCTGATTTATTTGAAGTTGTTTAGACATCGCATGACATTTTTGCAAGTCATCAGGAACACCTTGATTGCCGGCAGCAACTGAAAACAATATTGTAATATAATAAAATTAACACCTAATTTTTTTGTACCTATGAATAAAAATCTTTGTTAGTATAGACATGTTAAATAAGCAAGCAACTTTTTCAATATAAAACATTTCCAACCTTCATCGAGCTGGGTTTGTAAATGTAGTTGTATTTTGCGAATATCGAAAAATGTATACGTTTCGAATACAACCCAAACAACACAGCCAAACATTAAAGACATGCGTAACGCACTGCACCAAGTATTCGAAATGAACCTATGTTTTCGCCTACGAGTGATCTGCCTCCGTAGTTTGATCGGTGTCGGAGCCCGTGAAGACGAACAAGAGTCCGACTCGGAGGAACACATAAGTCGGCGATTTCTGTTGTTAGTGCCAATAATCGTGCCCGTTAAGGCATCCAGTTCTTTGCGCTTACGCATTTTTTTGCCACCGATGGCAGATCTCCGACTAACGTCACTGCTCATCAGGGCGTTAATGTACGGTTTGACACGGTGTCCGCTTTGGTCTTACATGGACGTGAGTTTCACTTATTTGATACAACTAGTTACTCTATTACAATTATCACACCTCTTTTTCCCCTTATTATGGCACTATAGCGAGCTTTCGTAACTGGGATCGTGAATTGGGATAATCACTGATACGTAAGTCATGTTAGAAACGCCGCGCAGAATGGAAAGGGCGGGGCGACGCGAGTACAGTGTTTAAGGGCTGATCAATACCGAGTACAGTATACAGACACATATTATTATGAACCGCCACCCGGCGCACAAAGCCTTCAAGTTAAAACAATACACTCTTAATAGAAGTAAAATTAAAATTATATTTCTTTTTGTAATCTGTCTTTTCCGTAAAATTGTGAATTATCAAAACCTACATGTTTTTTTTTTTAATGAAAAATTAATCATTAAATATAATCTTTTTACAAAAGAAATTTTATGCATCTCTTTTATTTGACATTGCGGTAAGAAATACGGTATTTCGTAAGCGTAATAAGGTAATTTTTACATTTTAAACGAAGGGTTGAGTGGATTGAAGGGTTAAATGTAATTTTCTAAAACTTTGGGGAGATTTATTTAACACGCGTTATCCACGCAACTTTGATAATAATAAAAAACATAATAATAGCGCCTTTATCAAATCATATCTCTAATCTCCGTAAATAATAATAATTTTGCAAAATTGTGTATTCAGTATTGTATCACAAAACATTTTTATCCACTCAAACTTTTAGGCTTTTACTACGAGTTCGTAAAATCACATGTTTTAATGAACAAAAGTTAATTAAATGGTACAACAACCAATGATGCATTTACCGAAATCCGAATGGACAAAAAGAAAAAATTATTGTCATGGACATTTAAAAATACTGTACGATTTTTTGTAATCCCTAGAAAATTCCCAATTCTGTTTTTAAAACAGCGACCCTCGGGTCAAGTCTGACTTCAGTAAGAATACATTTTATTAAATAAAAAATATAATTCAAATTTACAAATATTATTTAATTGAATTTACAATCTTTTCATAAGAAAAGTTTATAGTAACAAATGAAAATAAAACAAATTAATATCTTAGAATATGATAGGTAAGATAATAGATAAGAACATAATTTTTGCAAGATCATAATTTAGAGCTTAAATCACAGAATATATTATTTTGTGCTTAAACTATAGTGTATACTTATTAATACAGTATTAAGGATTCTTAATTAGTTATTTTTTATTTTTGTCAGACTATCTCAATCTACAAAAATCTATAGAAAAAAATAGTTTTTTAACACAAATAGTTTAGCTTGAATTAAAACCAAAATGTATTGGAATTGTTGTAAAATCAACTAATGTTCACACCTAAAAGAAGAAGAATTTATCTGTACTATGTATTTTTACATGTTCGGTAACTCAATTCACTAATTTTTAAAAGTTTATTGACATTTTAAAGAAAAATTATTTGATAAATCAAAAAATTACTACCCTTCAACATAGATTAACTACTGGCGAATAATAAATAATGAATATCAAAATAGTATATTATTAACTAAAATAAACTTTTTATTTATCACTCCATCTAGATGAAATTCTTAATTGAATAATGCCCAAATTTGACTGTAAAATTAAAAAAATGAAAATATACTATGTTGTCAATTATTTTTAGATTTTTTTTCTTTTACAATGAGTTTCATAAATAATGGTTCACGTGATAAAAACATGGCAATAAAAAGAATCAAAGTCTATGTCCACCAACACATTTTTGTGATACTTCTTTTTTTTGTTAATAAGTTTATTTTATTTAGATATGTTTAAACTAAATGATTACTAAAGCTCGCATATTTATGACTACATATTTTTTTAGTCAAATTAGAATTATACTTAAAATACAATATAAATTTGATTCACAAAGAGTAGATTTTAAATCAGTAAACTCATATTGCATATATTTGCATATTTGATACTTTTGAGCCTATATTTCCCCATAATTATTTCTAAATTTAATAGAATATTTGTAATTATAATTTTTAAATATGTTCCATTGTATTATTATCTTTAATCGTGTTTAGGAGTATGAGCTAAAGAAAATTATACATATTATGAAAAAAAGTATTAAAGGAAAATTTTAACTATTAAGTGTAATCCAAAATTTTTAAAATAATTGTCATTGTTTTTTTTAAATTTGAAAATATCACCAATTAATTGTAATTCAATGTTATCCTGATGCGTAAAATACCTTTTTAAATATTAATAATTGTAAAATGTTATTTATATTACTTCCACTATTTGAAAATCTTCTCCAAATTTGTAATGTATAATTAAGTAAAATATTGTTATAATCATTAACTACTAACAAATAGTAAACCTTTTTTATTTTATTTTGTAACTCTATTAGTATAACAAAATGTTTATACTAAAACTATATGAAAATTTACATTACATATTTTATTACCATTTACTTAAAATTGTTGAACATTTATAACTCAAACAAATAACATGTTTCATTTAAAATTTGTATCTCTACTACTTAACTTAATTTTATTTTTTAACCTTGGGTAGTCTATTTAGACGAATGTTTTAATTTTCACAGCTTTATTTGTATTGTATTTTAAATGGTGTTAATAAAACCAAACAATGAATATCTTTAAAATAAAATGACCTGTTATAAAATAGTTAATATATTTGTTTAAAATACTGAATTGGTTAGAGCCATAACATACAAGCTTTGTTTATAATGAATTGTAACAATTTATAAATTACTTACTTGTAATAATAGTACGGTTGAACTTGTCTAGTTCACCCTGTAAAGCACTAATAAACCAACTCATGGTCAATAGCCAGACTATGAGGACAGATAAAATGAAAAATACACAAATGGTACGCGTTTGAACGTGACATTTATCCAATGTTACTCTCTCAACAAACTTGTCTCGTTGAAATCTTAAACAAAAAAATTTAACTCAATTGAAAACTTTCTTACAAAGCGTACGTAAATAAGGTGCTGAGTTAAGCATTATACTTTCTGTATTTTTTTTTCCTCGGTGAGGCCAACATTTGAGGCGATGGGATATGGACAGAAGAACTACTCTCCGATTCCGACATTCCTAGCAGCTCATAGCTTTTGTTTGACACGCTTGGTAGTTCCATTTAGCGACTAACATGCTTAAACTATACCATAATAATATTTAAAATCAAGATATAATCTACATAAAACTAATCAAATAAAAAAACAACAATAACTATTACAACAGATTGTAATATTTAAAAAAAATGTTTTTAGACACGTTAACAAAATAATCCAAGATAAGATAACGCTTATCAATTTATGATAACAACACTTTTTTGACATTACTTTTTTTACCACGTCTTGTTTTTGGGTGCTATTTATCAAGGCCTCACAATATTGTAACAAGTTATAACATATCGAAGCTTACGATATTATTCGGTTGAAAATCAAAACACCAGCTGTTCCAACATCGAACGAATGAAACTGTACATTATTTAGATAAGAGCCCAAAAACTCATAATATTATTGATGACCTTTTATGCAGCTCTTGCAAAGTACCTTTGCAAAAAGAAATAAAATCAAGAAAAAAAAAAGAAACTATGTTAGATTAAAGTCCCCATCACCAAACTTTTACTAGATGTTCTACTCACTTATAAGTAAGTATTGCATGAATTTGGAAAATGTTCGTTCAGTCACATTTGTGTTGTGGGTCATAAAAGTAGATAGTTTTCAGCAAAATACCCATGTTTGAAGCCGTAAATTAATAGCAAAAAAAAACTTAATTGGTTCAAAGATGATATGGATCATAAGAACATAACTTAAATTTTATATAAACAAAATATTTGTTTTTAATTTTTAACTTTTTGACCCCAAAAAAAGTTTTTGAAAAATTAAAAAAAAATGTATTTTCTTAAAATTTGGTTAAAGTACACTTAGTTAGAATTTTAACAGTGCAGGTTTTATGTCTATACCACTATCGGCGGTTAAATTACAAAGTTGGGAATATAAGGTGTTTTAGGATAATTTTTTTTAAAAATTGACCTACCTAGGTCCAAAAAAAAATTTTAAAAATTGTTTTGTTATTAAGGACTTGTAAAAAATATATGATAAAAATAGGCGGACTCGTCTAGTCTAAAAACTATTTATCTAGTGATTAAGATGTAATATAACTGTCAACAGCTGTGTTGTTTTATAAAATTGGTTAGTTTGTCTTAATTCATGTAAACAGCTAATATTTCGTATATAATTTTCAAAGTAATTATAACCAATTTTTTTGTAATATTTAAATAGGTAAACGATTTAACCCGTAAACTATATTGCCAAAAAATATACAGTACTTACCATGTATGTGGCAGTCACATAGGCGCAAATACGGGGGGGGCTAGTGTGGGCTTAGCCCCTCCAATGCTAGACATAGCCCCACCAAAAAAATTAGGTTATGCATACAATTTTAAAATATAAAAATATATTTACTTATTAATGTAATTAAAAAAAAATTCCAGCCCCCCAAGTAAAAAATTGAAATTGCGCCTATGAGCAGTCATGAATACAGTATATTTACACAATTTATAAGTAAGTGTTAGCAGTAGCGTATCTAGGATTTTTCCACGGGGGGGAGGTATACAGATTTAACAGCCATACTTATACAATTTTTAAGAGGGCCTCATTATTATTAATTGGAAAACTTAAGACGTGTCATTAAATTATCTATATTGATTTTGTGCTAAAATATTCTAATTTTGATCAAAACAGCGGCGTAATGTTAATAAAAACAAAACAGTTTTAGGTCAAAATGGGTTTTGTCTATCAATTTTTATTTACAAATGGTTAACATTTTATTTTTCGTTTTGGAAATAAAAATATAATAACAGGTCAACTCAATTTCGATAAAAGTATGTAGAAGCATTACAGAAACATTTGTATTGTAATAATATTTTTAAACCCTAAATAGAACAATTATCGTCATTATATACTAATAAACAATTCGACGAAAATTATTAATTAATAATAACAACAATTATAATAACTGTTTGTTGACTTATCGCTGTTTAATTTAAAACTTTCAGGAACGTAAACGTAACTTTGTGGTAATACTCAAATCGAGTTATTTGGTTGATATCTAAATTATTATAGATATTCCAGAAAGGTATTATTTAATTAGGTAATTACTAAATTATAGTATTTATAAGTTATATTAATAATTTATTAAAAACTTTCAAGAATAATGAGTAGTTTTC